CTCTGTTTTCGGAGGGTTCGTCATTTGATGCCTTTGCGTCTGGTAATAAAGAAGATATATGCATACCTTTACAGTCAATGTAATATATTATTGCCAAAAAATGTGAGAGACAGATCACTGACAATCATGTCGATCCGGAACTCCCGGAGATATCACCTAATCCAACGATCTTTGAACTAAATATAACCGTCTCAACCCGAGCGTGGGGATTGCCAGCCTTAATACGAGATGATTGTGGGTGTTCAAGCAGCACTCCAATAAAATATTCAATCCAACCCAAGTAGGACGTTGTAAATAGATATATTCGCAGCGAGCTATCGCACACGTGGGATCAGTCGACATACAAAGAGGAGCATTGGATATCTTTGGCAAATACGAGCTCGTGTGCTGGAACGGATATAACTAATTGACTTCCCGTGGACCATCCCCAGTGGCATCTGAATAATTCGACCGACTCTTCAGTTTGGATATATAATAGTTGTCTATTGCTTCTGTATACCCGCAATATAGTCATAATGTTACTCCGAGGGTAGCTTTGGGAAATACGAAATGGAGCTCGATAGTCGAGAAAGCCCCGAGGTCGAAAAGCAGTCAAGCTGTTGCGTTGAAGGCATTGTTTGGCCAATTGGTTCTGGATGAGATAGAACGTGATCAACGCTGTTAAAGCCATGAATTTGTAATGATATGGTCGAGTTCGGGTATAAAAAGCCTGGCTTGATGTCACCAGCCTGGTCGTAAAACAGCAAGCTATTCCCCAATTCCTCCAGCCTCACACAACAACTAATATATCTCTGCCAAACAGACCAGCTGTAAGCCCTTGACCTGTACCCTTTCCCAGGTATACAAGCAGGTTCCTAACACTATGCATATGCAGAAAACCTACGCAAAATGAAAGTCACATCCTCCATAGCCGCGGTTGTCGCCCTCGTCTTTGCGTCTTCCGCCGGCGCCTGGCGTTTGAATGCCTATCAGCTCCGGAACTCTGAGGGCCCGAAGTTCACTGCCGGCGGACCAGGCGGTTCTGGCAGCGCCTGCCACAGCGTTGGTGACCTTAACAACAAGATTTCATCCATCGAATGGTACTCTGATGACCCAACGCACCACACCCGCTGTTGCTTCGTCCCATTCAATGGCCTTGGCTGTACCGGTGACCTTGGTCAGAGCTGGTGCCGCAATATTCGTGTTAGCGACCTTGGCCAGATCGGTATGGACAACAAGATCAGCTCCTTCCGGACCGACTGCTATAAGCCAACTACCAAGCGGATGGAGGAATTCCAATTCTGAGCCGACCACAATTTCTTTGACGACAAGCACATGGTGCAGTTTTTGTTTATGTTGGGGGATATCCTAGTCCGACAATGTATATAATAAACACAGCCAAATTAGGTGTTCATTAATATCATGTCAAACTTGCCATTGATGTTCTCTTCCGTTGACTTGTCGGTTTGATTAAGATAAACATCCCCCGTTCAGTATGGCCTGGAAAAATGAGCAATAAACTTAGGCAATCACGTTTCGCTGTCAAGGAGCCGTTGTACTATGCTCTCAGCACGGGTATCACCTCCAGCGATAGTCATTTCAGTTACCTTGTCACGACCGTTATCGCCTATGATAATAACCCTTTCGACAAGCCCCCGATTGCACACCTTGACTCTGCCAATGCGTCCATCCTGCCACTGGAAGCGTATGTACCTAGCTTCAATCGATGCAGCGGTGACGGATAGTATTCCGAGTTTAAATGCAGTTGTATTTGCGGGTATATCGGTGGAGTTTAGGTTAGCAATGCCCAGCTGTTCCTGAAGTAAAGTGATAACATCTCGTCGAAGATGCCAGGCGACAAGCTCACGGCGCAGTCCCCGCACCAAGCCTTTGAGATTTTGCTTCTTTCGCTTCCACGGCTTTAATCCTCCACCAGACCCATCCTCAGATGCCTGGATCGGGAGATATTTCTGTTCCAGGTGCTTCAGCGGTATAAAAACCGGTATGGTATGCCGATGTATTTGTAGTAACTTGCGATCGCCCCCTGTGCGTCTAAGAAGTAGATAATATGGCTTCACAAAGGTCCCATCACGAACATTAACATCAATCCGAAAACCAAGAAGATCAGGTGAGTCTGTATGAGGTGATGGGTCCTTGAACGGAAATGAAGTAGCCGAAAAGACGATGCGATGGTGGTTTGTTTCGGCGTGTCTCTTGGACTCGACGATCGCGGACGGCGTATCGGAATCGACCTGGCTCAAGAGATGCGACTCAAGGCTGTTTCTAACCGTGCTACTGGACAGCAGACTGGCTGAAAGGACTTGTCTCCGCGCCGTGAGCTTTTGAACTAGGTCGCTGTTAGCTGGCCCAACAGGACGAATAAAACCGAGAATAGACCTACTTTCTTCACGCACAGCAGATATCTCCTCATCCAATGCCGCCGACTGATTTTCTTCCGCCATTGTCATCCTTCGACACCACGATCTAGGCGTTTGTCATGGTCGATGTCGTCTGTTGTGCCTCGTCGTCTTCGTCGTCGTTAAAGCGGGAGGTCAGTGTAAACAACCGGCTTAGTCAGCAACTATCGCGATTCCAAACCTTTAATTTTTCTTCTGCAAAAGGACAACTTGCAGCTTGCAAGCGACTTCATAGGCGCCGGAGGGGGGATTCACTCGGGTACAGACTAAACTTGGCTTATTCATGGTGACTAGACGCTGCTCGTATCCTCGTCTGCGGCTCAAAAACATGCTGACACCTGTTCTCTAGGCCATACCCGGTGCTATATAGTCCACTGTACCTCTTCTCTGCCTCCTATAGATCAGAACGAAACCATGTCTTGTCCCTTCTCCACATAAATTCTCCGGGATAACCAGTTAGTGTGATATATAGCCTCACTGCATTCTCGTGCACATACACCCTGCCTCTCGTTCTACCCGGTTTCGAAACAGAGAAGACCCAAATGAAACGCAAGAACGGTTCTGTGAGAAAACGAGCCAGTCGGCAGAGCCTCAACCTCCACACGAACGGCCACGCCAACGCAGGCGGCAAGATGGACTCGCAGATAGAGATGCGGAAGAAGGGCGTCTCCCTCGAGTCGACGTCGACACATACCTCTAGGGTGATGGACCGACCAGAATTCTCCCTAGACGACTCTCCCCCGCCGACTCCACAGTCTGCCGCGGCCGTGAGCACCAGCTTCAACGATCTACCAGCGCCTGATAAACGAAATTTTCTCCTGTTATGCATGCTATACTTCCTTCAGGGCGTGCCCATGGGTTTGGCCATGGGATCGGTACCTTTTCTCCTTAAGCCGAACCTCTCCTACGGACAGATCGGCGTGTTTTCGCTCGCTTCATACCCATACTCGCTGAAGCTTCTATGGAGTCCCATCGTGGACGCAGTTTGGAGCCAGAGGTTTGGACGACGGAAGAGTTGGATCATGCCTATCCAGACAATCTCTGGCTTGGCCATGGTGTATCTTGGTAGCCATATTGCAAATATGATGACTGCAGCGGCTGATAAGGGGGGAGACGGCATATGGGGCTTTACCAAATGGTGGTTTTTCCTTGTCTTCCTCTGCGCAACGCAGGATATTGCCGTTGACGGCTGGGCCATTTCTCTCATCTCACCTCAGAACATTGCGTTTGCCTCTACCGCCCAAACAGTCGGCCTTACGGCCGGGCACTTCCTATCATACACCGTGTTCTTGGCATTTAACTCGCCGCATTTTGCTAATACGTGGTTCCGCTCTACGCCATCGAATGAAGGCCTCATCTCTCTAGGTGGTTACTTGAAATTCTGGGGGTGGGCATACCTTCTCGTGACCATTGGATTGGCCGTGCTCAAGAAGGAGGAAATTTCAAAGGATAGGGACGGCATTGTTGAGGTATACAAGAGCATGTGGAAGATCTTGAAACTCAGCAATATCCAGACCATCATCATCATACATCTGATTGCGAAAATTGGCTTCCAGGCAAACGAGGCCGTGACGAGCTTGAAACTTATTGATAAGGGCTTCGGTCAGGATAATATGGCTCTGGTCGTTCTTGTTGACTTCCCGTTTGAGCTTGCCCTCGGTTACTATGCTGGAAAATGGTCAACAGAATATACTCCCATGAGGCTGTGGTGCTGGTCATTTGTAGGCCGGCTTGTAGCTGCTCTCTTGGCCCAGGCTGTTGTCATGATTTATCCAAGCGCCCCCGGTGCTGCTGTCCCTGGGTGGTACATGTTTGCAGTTATTGGCGAGCATCTGTTGTCCACTTCGATGAACACTATCATGTTCGTTGCCTGCTCTGCATTCCATGCAAAGATATCCGACCCAACGATTGGCGGCACTTACATGACATTACTCGCGACGTACGTATGCCCTTCGAACCACTAATTAAAACCGTTTGCTAACCGTTTTTCTAGCGTCTCGAATCTTGGAGGAACTTTCCCGAAGTATTTTGTTCTTAAACTTGTCGACAGCCTCCACAGTGCAACCTGCGTTCCTCCGTCCAAGGCCCCTCAGGGAGTACAGTCTCCCATCACTACTTCTTTCTCCTGTTCTCTCGAAGCCGACAAGAACCGTTGCCTTTCCGGAGGCGGCGTTTGCCGAGTTGATCGTGACGGCTTTTACTATACGAATATATTATGCGTGGCCGTTGGTGCCCTCACTTTCTGGTTCTTTATCCGAGGAGCCGTTATGAAACTCCAGAGACTCCCCTTGCGTGCATGGCGAGTCGCTCCAGAGGATACAGTTAGATGATGATGATGCTCATATCTCTGTATGATAGAGTGTATGCTCTTCTTTTTGGTCTTGGTTCCGGGTTATAAAAGAGATTGGTCTGGCTATAGCTATTTTAATCATTGCATTATGTATTATTACTTGCCCTGTAAATATTATAATAGAAGACCTTGACACTTGTTTGGTTAGTTCTCGTATCTCAACTTGGCCCGTATAAATGAGTAGTCGAATACCACCTTACAAGGTGCAACTCCCTTTGATCCTTTAGAATCGTTGAAATATATCTACCTCGAGAATGTCCGCCCAAATACCAAACACTCTCACTGGAGGATGTCTATGCAAGGAGATCCAATACACCATTGATGTACCAAAGGACATCTCCTGGCCTCCAGATGTATGTTCCTAGCAACACGTAATTATCTCTAATACTGACTGACTCTACCAGCCTCACACTTGCTGGTGCACTCAGTGCCGCAAAGCAACCGGCTCTATCATCGCCCACTTGATCACCTTCGATCCGTCCGCTGTGAAATGGAACGGAACGCCCACGGAGTTCGAGTCCAGCGCCCAAGGACGCCGTGGATTCTGTTCTAAGTGTGGTACAAGTCTGTACTTCAGAGACATTGGGCTACCAGCCGAGGTCGAGATATGCACTGGCTCACTCGACGAGGAGATACTGGAGAATCCCCAGTTGGCAAACGACCTTTGCGATCCTAGCTGCGGGCGTTTCTGGTGCAAGAGAGAGATCAAAAGTACCATATACGAGAATTCAGCTGGTAAACGCTGGCTGGAGGGAAGCAAGTCACGGCCCATGTATGATGGAGAGTAGATATTTCCGTCTCCAAAGACACCGTTGGCTAGAGGAATGACCTTGATTTGATCTCTCTTGCATTAATGTATGTAGTTACCCCCAAAATTCCTTGCTAATAATATTGAACCAAACCTGTCCTGTGTTTCACTAATAGTTGTTCATCTACGCATCCAGCCGTATTCATTTGATTTCCCCGGCCTAGCCGTTTTATTCCTCATAAACAGCTTCATGATAGCTTATAACCCCCGGCCAGTCATCATGGATCAATTATATCTTGTCAGAAGGGTATTGCTCGGCTTATAGAGTGGTTTATATCAACCGGTGTCCGCAGGACTCTATCTCAACCCGAAGTAGCTATCAGCTTAGATATCCATAATAAGAGAGTGATCAACATCAGAGTCTCACTTCTTGCCCATCTCTGTGGCACAGCATCCGCAGAATAACGCCGCGGGATAGCATACGATCTAGATAGTTATGCATTAGACACTGATCTAATTAGTTGTATAGTCATAATCAACATACCGCCGTCAAAACTGCAGCCCAGAAACCTAGGAATGTGAGAGAAGGTCAGCTCTCAAATATATAACTAGATGCTTGTATTCAATTGCCAGAGCTTCTCACCAAGCGTTGGGCCTACGACCTTGCATCGGCATGCATTGTCTGTTCCGCATTGGATGCACAGGAAGTACGGCTGTGGAAGGGGACACTGGCTACATACATCCATCTTGAATGATTTATAGCTTGGAATATGCAATATCCACCACAAGTATATAAATGCCAGGTTAGAAAATGCTTTACTAAGTGGTTGTTGTTTTGAAATCTGGCAGATATTCGCTGGCTACGATAACAATCATCATCGACCAGTGTGATTGTTGTTTACATGGAAGTTGTCACCGCAAGCAGCCTTTTGCCACCAGGAATAGGTCACACCAGTGGGCGAATATATACTAAATAATGTATAAACAAGAAGTCTGCGTTCGTCGGTGCTGGGAGGCACATTAATGTAACATGAAAAGTGTCTAGGTAGGACCTTAGTAGGAGCAAAGGGGTAGTTAAAAGGGAAGGATATCTGTTTCTCAAACCAATGGGAGGAGGTCGCCGTAGAAGAACAAGGTACCTATAACGTGGAATAGTGTATAAAACATTCGAAATCAAAAAAGGTTCAGGGGGGAGTACAGTTAAAGTATAAGTACGGGCAGATTAATAGTAAATCAAACCGTTGGTGGAATGGCTTTGTATAAGAATAAAAAGAAGTCAAGGAAATTTACCCAGTGCATAGGGCCCCAGTTCATAAAATCATCACTGTCTCTAATTTTGATAGTAGAGGATAGTCCCGCTCAATCTCCCATTATATCATCCTCATCCGGGGAGGGTGAGGCTGCGTCTCGTTCTTCTTCGCCGTCGCTAACAGCAGGTTCCTCTTCTTCGTCTTCAATCAGGCCGCGGGCCCGTAGGTTTTCTTCATCATCTTCATCTCCGACAATTGCATCTTCCTCCTCTTCGTCATCATCCTCGACCAGTTCGGTAGACTTGATTTTCCCGCCGCGAGTGTTTGGTGCAACCCCGTTAGCGGCAGTATCTTCCTGGCCTTCCGGTTCTTTGCCCTTGGGTGCGACTCGTCTTCGAGTTGCGGGGCCATCCTTTTGGCTGTCTTCCAGATACGAGAGGACCTCCTTATAATTCTGGCCTAAACGCGATTTGTTTCTGAGTAGCTTACGCCTCAGTTTTCCGGCCTGAGGGCCAGACACATCTAACACCCGGCCAATGATAGCGAGAACGATCTTTCCGGTAAGCTCACAGAGTCTCTGCTCAGCAAGCAGGATAGAACGTTTAGCCTCTTCCTCATTCTCATCTGCATCACTCGCATCGCCCTCCTCGTCATCGGAGTTGAGATCCATTTCACTTTCACTCTCCGCCGGCTCGGCATCTACCGCCACATCAAGCTTTCGTTTTGATTTTTTGGCAAACGTCTGCTCGGCGCTGTCGTGAAGTCGAGATAGAACATTGCGGATCTCTGGACTGATCTCTTGGGGAAGTTCTTGAACTCGGAATGCCAGGTCGTCTTTAGTCATAGAGGTGACATTCTTCCCAGGAGGAGCTGCATGTCGAAGTGTGCCAAATGCTGTCTGTAAGTCAAGCAGTGTTGTTGTAGCGGCAAGCTTAACATGTTTTAAACCCGAGCCATGTGGTTGCATAAGGGCAGAGAGCGTTGCAACAAAGGACTCGCGTCTCTGAGATAGAGACTCGAAGTATTCAGCATCATAAGCGCCCTTATTGCTACCAGTGGTAACAGCTGCCGTCAGGTTTTGGATCTTCCACATGAAGTAGACCAACAACGTCTTGAAGATATTCAGAGCAATATCTTGCTCAAGTTTGTTCACATCATCATCGTCGTCCTCTTCTCGTAGGCTTCGTTTGACCAGCGAGAGAAGTAAGTCAACAGGAGCTTCAGCACGTTTATTCTGTTTCTTTGAGGTTGGTCGTGGTGCCGTTTCCAGGGTCGAAGTGCAATCTGATATGCTAGCAAGGTTCGAAATGCGTATCACAGTGCTAGAGAGCGTAGCAAGAGCACCTTTTGGCAGCTTCACGCTTTCAGGTTCCTTTTTATTTTCCAGTATATTATTCAAAGAATCAACAGTATCATCCCAGAGTTCCTGAATCTTGCCTTCCATAGCCTCTTTCAGCTCATCTGATGATCGAGCACGCAGGAAAGCGACTGTGGCCTCAGCTAGCACCGCTTGATCAGAATGTGTCAAGAATTGTTGATTGATATTGTTCAAAAGATCAGAGTAGGCGGCTGCATCCTTTTGTATCTCCTGCATGAGATCGAGGTTGACAAGGTGTTCTAATCGAAGAACTGGGGATGCAGCTTCTGGTACGGCACCAAATTTATTCAGTAGCCGCGGTATTATCTGGGACAAGTTATGTGCGATAGACTCCAGTCGTTCTTCCACCAGCTGAACCGACTGTTTTGTCTTCCTCCCTTTTTTGTCTACATCCGATTTTGAGACTACCTGAATATGCAATTTGACAGCACACTCGAGTACCTCTAGCAGAATAGTTTCCTGTCCTTCGTTCAGCTTATATAGGCATTTAATGGCGGCTGTTGTGTCGTTATCATCCGTGGGTTCAGAGATCTGCGAATGATCATAAAGAAGGTATCCAGCCAACGATTCCCAGTGTTCGAACTCTTTGAAGTGAGGGTAAATTGATTCGGTGGCTAAAACGAATCTCGAGCCGATAGAATTGCCGAACGGAGCGTATCGAGAAGTCGACTGATCATTTTCATCGTGCAGTTCAGTTTCTTGTGCGTCATATACCTGCAACATGTCCACAAGGCACTTGAACTTGATCCAGGATCGGTTCGGGGTATCATGATTTTCCTCATCTTCTTCACCAAAAAATTCATTGACCTCTTCCTCCATACTCTCAGTTGACGATTCGTAGACATCAACAATGTTCGCAACAAAGAACTTTCCAGCAGCTTTGCGCACTCGTGGTTCAATGTCAAATACAAGCCTGCCTATGCTGTCGATATCGTCAGGTTCTAAAAGGCCAGCATCACGGATAACATCTAGTAGTTCCACCGTAGCAGCGCGGACCCCAGGCTCTGCATCCCTCACAGCCATTTCCACTATTCTAGGCCGGAAACGCTCAGTGAAGCCTCGCAAGCCAGGAATGTTATCTTTATTCTGGAACAGTTTATGCAACTGGTGTATAACAACTGATCTGGTAGCTGCTACCGTATCCGAGAGTACCCATCCGAGATATCGAAGATACTGGCCGTCAAAAAACATGTCCTTGTACAGACTGATCCAGAGGCCTAGGAGACCCATGCACTCTTGTCTGATTTTAGGATCGACGTCTCTGTACCGGTGGACAAAGACTGCATCAAAGGAGTCGCGAAGCATGTCATCAATTGCTTCTAGTCTCTTCTGTCCTTCCTTGATCTTGGTCTGTAGGGCACTGATTCTTCCCTTGTTCGCGGATTTCTTCTTCCGCTCAGTCTCGAGTTGAGTCCGTGAGTTAGACACGCTAGAGGACACCTCTTTGGCAATATGGCAGAGCGTAGTCATGATTGTCAGGGAGATAATCGTGGCGGTATGTCTGAACGGTCTGATAGGGGCCGATGACATTGAACTGATCCACGCCTGGATATTTTCGAAGAGGGCCGGGTCACTGTAGAGGATAGAGGCGCTGTGAATGGTCCGAATAAGGTCATCAAAAAAGCTGGTCAGGACGGACTGGAAAGACTTGAGGTTCTTTGCTTTCGACACAAGTGGGTAGTCGGTTATATCTTGTGCCTGGTACTCTTCCTGGATGTCTGTGAGGCGGTTGGAAACGTTGTCCACATCCTCAATATCAGTGCTTTCGACTTTGATATCGGTTCCGGAGCATCTCAGGACAAAATTGATCAGGTCCCGCATTGCATTAATATTGTGCTCTTCGTATTTCGTAAGCCATTCCGCCGCAACAGCTTCAGTAGTATGACCGCGTCCAAACACCTCCGCTATATTCGCGTTAGCAATACCACCGGGGAAAGAAAAAAGATTTTGAATAAGGTGTACGCACCGTATAACCCTTCCTCGTCACCGAGTTCACTCTGTCTCATTCGAGGCTTCTTCTTCCTACTTGGCGGCTTCGGTTTCTGCCCATTCATGATAGGACGCAAAGCGAGCTCTGTTGATATCCCGTTCATAATCTTTTGCTTCTTAGCAGCCGGCTTCGCCTTTGACTTCTTGTTCTGTTGTTTCCTGCTGGATGGGTCCCTTTTCTTCGCCTGTCTGCGTGCCCTAAAGTCCTCATCATCGGCCTCTCCTTCGCTTTCTTCACTTTCATCGTCCTCTTCGTCCTCATCGACTTCGTCCTCTTGTTGCGCCTGGTCAGATTCATCATTTGACGCGTCGTCTTCGTTATCATGACCTTCAGACTGTCGTTTCCGCTTTGGACGGCTCGAATTGAATGTCTGCGAAGAGAATATCTCTGGTTTCCGTCTAACGCGCCCTGATTGTCGTCTGGACGGTCCCTGGTCTTCCTGAAGTGCGGCCTCGCTGCCCACCTCGGAGAGCGGACTCGAGCCACGTTCCTCAGGTGCCTCCATCGTATACGGTAACACGATCGATATTCAGGCTCTTCTGCAGCGGTACCTCGCTATTCTCGGTGGTGAGACGGTTGTTCTAGCAAGGCTTCCTGGTCAACTTAATGTAATGTAGCTAACTTCAAGAGACGCGCTATTTAGATGTTTTGCCTTTTGCTTTCCGCGCAAGAAAAGGGGCCAGTGGGGGAGGGCAACAGTGCGAGCTGCTCGGGGAGATGCAACTCAGCAGGCCAGAGGAGATCTGAGATATCAGTTCGCTTCGTTCCTCGAGATTCATCGAAGTTGACGCCGTCTCGACGTTGTTTTTTTGATAAACTTGAACGCGCGCAAGAAAAAAAAAGTTAGGCTGCAGTCGGTATTACTGTATGGTATGAGTTATTACATACAGGTACTGTCATTTCCCACACGATAAGCCAGGATAAGGTGTACCGTATGTAATATTACAAGGTACGGTAATAACTGCTTATCTTTCCCGTTTTCCCCCGCAAAAAGCGATTTTGATAATCTTCAACTTCTTCAACTCCGGCTTTTTCATCTTCAACGGCTTCAAATCTTCACCTTTTTCCATCATCACTGCTGGTTCGCTTCTTCAAGGATTGCTATTCTTTTCAGAGACTGCCTGCTCGTGCGCTTTTGATAGCTCCTTGGAACTAGCTACGTGGCGGCAGTCAATCGATGAGGAAGCCCCTGACCTAGATACGGCGCTATGCCGATTCTCAACTCCCCCTTTGCGCCGTCGGCCTTTGCCAACAGCTCTGGCCGCGGGGAGGTCGTTCTCACAGTCCTTCCACCGGCTATCCCGTCTCTATCGACCGTTTCTTACAACTATCCTCTTAAGCTCCTCTCGCGCACTCCCGAGGGTGAATTAAAGTCCAGGTACCCGGCTACCGCCACACCCCATTTACACCTCTATCTTCTTACCTACGGCGGTGGTCTTCTTCCGGGAGACCACATTGACGTCTCTGTGACAGTCAAGCCAAGGGGAAGGCTTGTGGTCACCACTCCACAGGGGAGCACCAAGATATACAAGACCGAGGCCCAGGGTGGCAGGAAAAGACCCATCCCCAAGACCGATAATGACCGGAGCAAACAGACCCTCAAAGTCCAATTGGGCCGTGAGTCTGGGTTGTGCTTGCTGCCTGACCCATCTGCGCCATTTGCAGATAGTCGGTATGACCAGTTCCAGACATTCACTCTGCTCCACGGGGACCACAGCAAGGCTGCAGGCAGCTCGCAGGGCGACGAAGGTGTCACTAAACCGGCCCACAAAGGCAGCCTCTGTGTGCTCGACTGGGTGACGGAAGGGCGTAGCGCCAGAGGAGAGAATTGGTCCTTTGATTCATGGACCGGGAGAAATGAAGTCTGGCTCGAAGACTGTAAGACCGGGAAGAGGAGGCTGCTGCTCCGAGATGCGGTGATATTGAACAACGAGACAGCCGCGCAGAAGCAACTAGATGCCAACGATCCTGACAGCTCGGCAGAGAGCCATATGTCTTCTACCCAGTCACAGACCTCAGTCCGCTCTCGCGTTCATCCTCATGGCGTACTGGGGACGCTGATAATCCACGGACCACTGTTCGAGTCCCTGGCTGACTTCTTCATGGAGGCCTTTACTTCACAACCCAGGATCGGCGGTCAGAATTGGTCGTCGAGCTCCACGTACTATCCCACGCACACGAACGAGCATGTCAATAACAACGAGAAATATGATAATCACGACGACACGACAAAACCGGCAGAGATGCGCCACAGAAATGTAACATGGACGGCTGCTCGAGTACGCAATGGATTTGTCCTCGTGAAGTTTGGTGCTCCAGACTTTGAGAATGCCCGAGATTGGCTGGGCCATATGCTCAGGGCGGAAGGGAGTATTCAGCGTGAGTTCGGCGAAGAGGCCCTCGGCTCCTTGTAGAATAGACCCGTAGATTCTTTGTGTATATACTTATCGCATGTTTCCTTGTTTTCTCTATGTTCTATTATTGGCATATCCCTCGACACGTATTTCTTTTCCTGTGAGGCTGCTGATATCGAAGGGCAAATTCCGATTCCGAGGCTATCTCAATTGATAGATCTTCCAATTGCACCAAAACCAGGTAGTTTCATGCATTCCTCAGCTGCCAAAGGGCGACAGGTTTTTGGTTGAGGTCCTGAGTAGTTGCTGATCGTCCACACATGTTGCTATTCTTTGCTTCGTCGTCGCTGTCAGCCTCAAGTGAACTCGAGATGATTGACGGTACAGCCTCCATAAAAACGAGGGATGTAACCAATCAACCAAGTCTTCGAGGCTACTACATCGTACCTTAATATAAGGGAGTAATAGGGTAGCAGTCTTATGCAAGGAGTGTTTCATTGCAGTTCAAATTAAGTTGATCCGAGCTGGCCCCAGCATGTTTCTATTATTAGTGAATAATCACTCTGTTATACGAGCCTCAGGGGCAACGTGGATAGGGGACTGGCAGGACCAAAACGCGGATCGTCCATATCCCCGCTGCGTTACACGGCAAAGGGGCCGTAGGGCTCTTGGTGATCGTCAATGGGGATAGCGAGACTCGAGGACATGAGAGGCTGTGCTTCACGAAATGTGGCAACCTCTCCATCTCCCGTCACCAGAAATACGGATTAAGCCAACTTATGCACCAGGCTGAAATCACGCATCGCCAGTCGCGGTGCTCGAAAAGGTAGCAATGAACTCCCTGCTGCGGGAACGGTGGTCCAAGGGAGAGATGATCAAGAGAGTCGGCTCGTATACATACTCTGACTTGAGAGGAAATAAGCCGGGCAGAAGAGGTCTATATAAACCTCGACAGAACCCGTCCATGAAGATATCCAAACAAGCAAGACAACAAAGACGAAAACAACAACAACAACAATCCCAACCAAACTCCCAGTTTCAACCACCCTTCAAATCAACCCATTCATCAATCAAAATGCGTTCCGCAATCTTCATCTCTGCCATCTCCTTCCTCCCAGCTGCTCTTGCAGCTCCCATGCAGATCTCCGCCAGAGACTGTGTTGGCCCAGACGTCAACCCTGCCACCATCGCTCTCATCAAGGAGTTCGAGGGCTTCGTCCCAGCTCCTGCACCTGACCCAGTTGGCCTCCCAACCGTCGGCTACGGCCATCTCTGCCAGAGCAAGAACTGCGGAGAGGTTGGCTTCCCATTCCCTCTCACTGAGGATACCGCCACCCAGCTCCTCATCCAAGACGTCAAGGTATGTATAACCTTCCATGGCCTTTGGGTGGACGTATAAAGTTGTTAATGAGTGATATAATGCTATAGGCTCCCCAGCAGACCATCACCTTGAAGACCGCTGATGGTGTCCACCTCAATGAGAACCAGTATGGTGCTCTCGTCTCTTGGACCTTCAACGTCGGCCCAGGAAACGTTGCCACTTCCAGCCTCCTTCAGCGTCTCAACGCTCTCGAAGACGTCAACACCGTCCTCCGCGAGGAGCTCCCTCAGTGGAAGTACGGAGGTGGAAAGGTTCTTCCTGGCCTCGTCCGTCGCCGTGCTGCCGAGGTTGCCCTTGGCGAGACCGCCTCCGACGTCCCTGCTTTGCCAGTTGCCTGCTAAACGCTTTTCAAGCGAGAGATGGTACAAGGCTTGCTGCTCGTGAATCAGCCTTGTCTAATTAATATTCTTGTTTCATATTGCTCTTTTTTCATATTCCCACATTCATGTTAAATAGATCCCCAATTAGTTATTTCGACCTTGAAATTCATTTTGTACATATGATAATCGATATCTTTATGTCCTTTGCTTTTCATCCCCCGTATCTCAGAGCATTCTCGATGTGGAGGAACGCAAACTGCGTTGGGTATATTTCCGATGGCATGATCAAACTCCCAATTCTCCGTATGCATCTTTCCCATGCGATAGTGTCATCTTTTCGGATTCCGAGAGACATCTTGAGCGTATCGACGTTGTCGTCTTTGACTGACGTTGAATGAAAGTCCGAAAGTCGAAAAACGTCAACAAAAAAAGAAAAGTCTTGGCATCAGCCCCAAAACTCTAAAATCTTCAAATCTTCAAAGGTCGAAAAGTTGAAAAGATAAAAATAAGAAATAACAACGACCACATTTGAATACACTGGAATTTCAGTATGCCTCACAAACACAAGAGACGAGGCAACGGACAGTGAGTAAAGGCTTATCCTGGTTTTGCTGTGCTATTTTTGCGTATATACCTTCGAGTACTCATCAGTTAATAGTGACGATTATGATCTCCCACCAACCTCGATAGCAAAATCCCTCCCTACTAGACTTGAAAAAGCCGATGCAAAGTCCAAAGGTGGACAAGACACAAAAAAAGGGCCCAAGCAGAAGAAGTCTACTACCAAAGCGCTGCAAGATGACACCCCCAAGGCCTTCGCTCGGCTCATGCGAGTATATCAGGAATCAAACGGCAAGCGGAAACAAGGAGACCGAGACGCGGAGTTAGACTCGAGCGAACATAACAGTCGCAAAAGGAAACGGCAAAATGACACAAACCAGCAGAAAACACAAAACAAGAATAGCAAAGCGAAGGCTGCAGCGGACGCAAAGGACGCTAATATTCCCAAGATTCTACCAGGAGAAAGGATATCTGAGTTTGCTGCTCGAGTTGATCGTGCGCTCCCATTTTCCGAATTAGCCAAACGAGCATCGCTATCAAAGGGAGGAAAGGATGCTGTGTTGGGCAAAATAAGGGACACTCGACAAACAAAGCATGAGAAGAGATTGTTACGGCTACAAAGCCAATGGCGTGAAGAAGATCGAAAGTTCCGAGAGAAACGTCAGGCTGCAATTGAGGAAGCTGAAGGAGAGGAGGAGGAGATTAATGATCTATGGAAGGAATGGGAGCGTGAAGCCGGAGCTGGTGTCAAGGGGAAAAGCAAGAAAACCAGCTTAGCACAGAAAAAGAAGAAGAAAAAGAAGAAGGGAATTGACGATGGCGATGGCGACGACCATGCCATAAGTAGCGATGATGACGACGATCCATGGGCAAAATTGAACAAGAGAGCAAATATTACGAAGCCAATCAATCCGGCTGACGTTGTTCAAGCCCCTCCGGAGAAACTGGCAAAACCCAGAGAAATATTCAAAGTGCGCGGAATGGGGGGTGCAAAGGTCCATGTTGCTGATGTTCCTGCTGCTGCTGGTAGTTTGAGACGAAGAGAAGAGCTAGCCACTGAGAGACAAAGCATCGTGGAGCAGTATAGAAAACTTATGGCTAGCAAGAGAGAGTAAAATGATCGCTAGCACGGTATATATATGCAAGGATATCCTTATCATGACATTCCAGGTATCATAATCTAAACTTTTTTGTAAATACACAAGACACCGGCGAGGATCTAGAAGGCAAACGCTTGACAGTATAAACAAAACATAAAACGAAGAGCCTTAATCTATAAGAGCCTCTTTCAAGCATCTCCTTTGATAGATCTGACATAATCTGCGGCACGAGCTTTGACTTCGTCCACCATCTTCGTATCTCCTTCAGGGGCAATCTTCTCTTCAAACGCAAGCCATTTTTTGAAAAGGAATTTGGCTTGCTTTTCTTTTAGTTTCTTTTTGGGACCTCCTTTGGTTCCATCGGCTGCGACAACACCATGGCCGATTCCAAGCACGCGCTCAAAGAGCCGTCTCACTTGCTCTTCATCACCAACTTTGATTTCCAAATCCAACAACACATTCCACAAATCAATGCGCTTGGGGAACGAGGACAAGAGACCCTCAAATACTGTTCTTCCACGCTCGATACCTCCGTTAGGGGAGCGGAATTCCAGCTGACCAAATCTGGATGTAACTTCAACATGGGTATGGGGAGGTAGGGATTGCAATGCACGGGGGAGTAGGTCACGGCCACGCTGAGGAGCTTCCATGGTATCAAACAGGAAGTTTGCATAGTTTAAGAAGAAATCTGGAGTGGAAGAGACCTTTTTCTTCAAGGCAGTTTGGAAAAGCTCATCCGCTTTCTATAATTTTATTAGCATTGATAATGGTTGTGTAAGTGGGGCATATATGCTTACCTCTGCTTTGCCCGATTGAATGAATATGCTTGTCATCCTGTCGTATATTTCATGAGCATCGTTATACTCGCAGGCGCTCTTGAAGACCTCGTCAAGAGTGTCGTCATTGCCAAAGGTATTTTCCAGATTGAGCCGTGCAACCCAGACATTGAGCTTCTCTGTATCTTGTCCGATACTCATGGTTCGCAAAGCACGATCGGCAATTTCTCTTGCCTTGTCCACTTCTCCCAGCTCCAACTGGAAAGCCATGTACTTCAACCACAACAGACTAGAATCTGGCTCTCCAAGAAGTAACCGCTCATAGTCAGCAACAGTCTGGGGTCCATTAGCATCCAGGTCGCCAGTTCTGTCCACTTGAATCTCAGCTTTCCGGCGCTTTTTCCTCTTGGTAGCGCCATCATCCTCAGTAGACTCATCGGCAGCCTCATTCATGTCTTTATCTCCATCGCCAGTCCAGTCAAAGCCAGAGGTAACAAGTCCGCTCTTTTTAGTGCTATCAGGAGCGTTTTCCATTTCAATATCTTCATCACTATCTTCCTCTTCCTCTTCGTCGTCTTCTCCTTCAAGGTCAACCCCTCCCATAGATACATCGTCGTCCGAATCGCTTCCAACATCAAGCTTGATACCGCCTGCTTCATCATCACTGGAATTGGCGTCGCTCTCTTCCTCTTCTGGGAGATCCCTGAAGTATGATGCTTTCAAGCCTAGCGCGATTTGGCCTTTCTCCAGATCAACTTTCAAGACCTTTGCCTTGACGATGTCATCCTTTTCGTACAGCTGGGTAGCATCTTCGACACGCTTCTCCGCCATCTCGGACCTGTGACACAACCCACTTAGGTTGGCACTGCCGTCAATGGCAATGAAAGCACCATACTCTTCGACCTTCCGAACCTTACCGGTAACAATTTGACCAACCTTTAAGTCCTTTAGAGTGAAAGGCGGTTTATAGTTGGGATCCAACGCTGATTTCTTCAGTGTCATCTGTACCTTGTTATTGTCCTTGTCCACGACTGTAAGTCTACCTTGAACGAGCTGGTCAACCTGGAACTCATCCTTCCACTCCTTCAAAAACGAATCCGAAAGATCTGAAACTCGGATATAAGCGGTCACATCATGTCCTAGAGTCACGAAGACTCCAATGTTGTCAACTCTTCGAACAAACCCACGGACGATCTGGCCGACCTTGAGGTTATCGATTGAAGTTATTTCAGGATCGACAACAGGCAACGAGGAACTAAGAACCTTTGATGGTCGAACGGAGAAACAAATCTTCTTGTTTGGAATATCGACATCGACAACACAGACACGCAGAGCTTCATTCTTGTGGAAGTTGGTTGGGTTGACCTTGGTATAGTCATCGGCCATATCAATAAGAGAAACAGCACCGACAACATTGTCATTAATTTGGACCAGCACTTGGCGGTCAGTTATTTTGGTGACTCGTCCCACCAGGATCATACCCTTGGATAGGTCTGCAACGGTCAATGTCTTAGCTGAACTTCCGATCCTTGCTGACAAGTCAAGTCGATTTTTCTCAGCGTCTATCCCGGTTACAGCCACTTGCAGTGCCGAGCCGATAGGGAAATTCTTCTGAATATTTCCTCTGATTGAAATATCGTCGGAAATGTCAGTGATGCGAAGCCGCCCTCGCACATTGGGTGAAATGTTCAACCATAGACAGTCTTCCGCAATGTTGTTCACGAATCCGATATAACGTTCCCCAACCTTAAGTTGTTCAAGATGAAGAGGTTTGAACTCACTCGCCTGAAGGCAGCTGCGCTTAGTAGAGAGCTCGTAAACCGATACTTTACCAGCCCGATGGCTGATAGGCAGGAACTTGTGATTTCGAGCGTCATGAATTCCAAGAACCCTGACTGGGAGAATTTCCTTGGAGTGGAATGATTTAAGAGGGCGTTTTCGGTCCTTGATGTCTTCCCAGGAGTCGAATATTTCAGAAATATCGATTCTTCCTTGAACGTTGTCAGCTAGAACAACATTGAGCTGAGTATCCTTGACCGATGTGATTTTGGCTTTGGTGATCTTCCCAACTACAATGTCCTCCATAGCCTTCAGTTCCTCATCAATGGGATTATTCAAGACCACAGCAGGAGCCTTCTTTTCTGATGCTGAGCTGGAGTCAGACTGCTGTTTGGGCTTTGACACAGGTTTTAGACTAAGAAGGAAACGGTCCGAATCCTCTTGTACGGCACAAACTGTAGCGGAGATCACCTGGAATCGACTGTATCCGAAATCAGGTCGAGAAGTATGATCATCGTCAACCAAGCGCTTAGGTATCAGGCCGGTGAGGTTATCCAAAAATTCCACAAATATTCCCTCGGGGATGATATTCTTGACAATGCCCGTTACTTTCAAACCGTGTTTGATGTCTTCAAATTTGGCTGGTAACCTTCCCTCAGCGGCAGCTTCCTTGAGAGTAGCTTTGTTGGTAACTTCGATGAGGCGGTGGGATTTCTTCACTCTGTAAACTAAAAGACCGTCCATCTTCTGACCAACTCTGATACGGTTCAGAGTGGACGTACGTTTTGTCGCGGAGCCGTCGGAA